ATGCGCTCCCATTCGGGCGAGAAACCGCACGCGTGCACACTGTGCAGCAAGGCTTTCGTCGAGCGCGGCAATTTGAAGCGCCACATGAAGATGAATCACCCGGATGCTATGATGCCGCCACCACCCGTGCATCCGCATCCGCAAATACCGGCTGGTGTGCTGACCCAAGTCAAGCAGGAAGTGAAACCGATCATAAGTGAGTCGGACACAGAACACACAACAGCAAGACACGCCACGCGACTGTGTCTGCGCTCGTCCAGTTCAATTGCCAAACTGACCGCCTCTTCCCCCTTTGCAGTTCCCCATCATTCGGCGACGACCACCATGCACACCATACAGCAGATAACAGCGGGCGCTGCAGCGGCCGGCGCTGGTGCCGTCCAGCTGACGCCCGGTCTGGTGCCGCTCGTCACCAGCACGCTCATCTCCCATAATGCCCAGCAGTCGCAGAAGCAACAGCAGCAGGTTGCTGCTGCAGTAGCTGCCCAGCAGCAGGCGGCAGCAGCAGCCGCCGCCCAACAGCAAGCAGCAGCAGCGGCTCAGCAGCAAGCGGCGGCGGCAGCAGCGCACCAGCAGCATCAGCAACAGGTGGCCGCACAGCAACAACAACAACAGCAGCAGGCAGCAGTTGCTGCACATCAACAGCAGCAACAGCAACTGCAGCAGCAGCAGTTGTTGCAATTGTCCATACAGCAGGCGGCGCATCATCATCAGCAACAGCAGCAGCAGCATCAACAGCAGCAACAACAGCAGCAACAACAACAACAGCAGCAGCATCATCCACAGCAACAGTCGCATCCGCAGGCGCCGCCACAGCAGCAGCAGCAACAGCCACCGCCACAGGTGCCCATTGCATTGATAAGTGATCCAAGCGCGCTGGCCCGTGCCGCTATGCAGTTGCAGCATCTGCCCACAAATGTGGAGCAGCATCCGGTGGTTTACTAACAGTAGCCCCTCCTGCATGGCTACCCGACGACGGCGGCGGCCACAACAACAGCCACAACACAATGGTGAAGCACACAAAATCCGGCGGCCAATCGAAGTAACTGAAGGCAACAGCTAAAATACATCAGACAGCAGAGCAAAATCCCTCACATCCACATAAGCAGCTAGTTATATATATATATGTGTATATATATATACATCATATACATTTATATAGTTTATAGTTCCGCGCGCTGGTTACGCCTTGAACCCGATAGTATGTCTCCCTATCTGTATCCAACTCTCCGATCAGGCGCCCGCTTGCGCAACGTGCAATACAAGAAAAACAAACATCTCATAGTTTCCCTTCATTGTTCTCTAACCGATCTTGTTAGGCGCTAAGCGTCTATATATAATAAATATTTCTCACGTCCCTGTTACATTTATGAAATGTACGCGTAACAAAGGCGCTGGACTTGGCAGTTAGCTGTGCTACCGGCCAAATTAATGAGAGAGAGTTCATCAATGGGTTCAACAAGTTGTAATCAGATCTTATACTCGTTCACGAAGTGAAAAATAATATATTGGCTCTGTGCAATAACCGTCTTATTGTCTGCCGGTCTGAAATTTCATTTTTGCTTATATATCCTGATAGAAATATAAAGCTTATATAGCTAAGTCCATTGGAAGCCAAGCAAATCAGGCAAAAGTATATGTTCCACAGTTACAGAACAAGGAAACCCTAGTTTTGCAGGCGAACCACTTTTAACCTTCCCTGATAGTATCTAATGAAGCATGTGGTTCGCCTATCTCATTTTAAGATAACTGTTTCTGATCGTGAACGAGTATTATGCAGTCGGTTGCGCCCGACTGCAACGTTTTTAATTGTTTTTTATTATTTTTTATTATGGCGCATGTATTTCTTATATTATTTTTCATTAAGTTATGCATAGGAAGTGAGAGAGACAGACATTCATACATACAAGGCATCCTCATACCACACCACTATCATAAATATATATATATATATATGTATATATATATATGCATATGTATATATATATTTATATAAATTATACATACTTTGTATATAAAACTGCAGCAAAACTTTGAGAAATCGCCGGAACATTTTGTATTATTTTGTGCATTTTGTAAAGCAAAGTATGTTACGAAACACACAGCTTAAACAGTTATGCATACACATATATTATAAACTACACAAATATTATGCTATATATCAGCGCCCAGTTAATATAAAACACACCTCACCCCTTAACCTGCAGCCCGATTAATGTTTAAGTCAGACAAATTGTTGCCTATGGTTGATAAACGTTTGTTATATATAGGGCAAGGCGTATTAAAGAAGTTAACTAACTATCACGACACTTGAGGCGGAGGAGGAAGGGGAGAAATAGAACCCTAGGCTAAGTCAAAAGAAAGAAAAAAAACTAACAAGAAGAGAAACACAAGAAAAAAGAAGAATTATATATTATTATTATATTTAATGTTAGTTGAACTACTAAGATGAATTAAGATTGATGATAATGACGATGAGACAAGTGAGCGAAAGTGAATTAGTTATTAATTATTACATCTACGAAATGTGTGTGTAGAGGATGATTAGCGCTTGCGCTATAATTATGATTATGAATTACGATTACGATTATGATTACGATATGACAAAGAGAAAAGAAGAAGAGAAAGAAAAGTAAAGCATGAAGTTATAACCTACCCCCAATACACCACACTACATACACTACACACTATTAAAAGTTAACAAACAATAAATAATAATAATTATAGTAAAGCTAGGCACAACTCTACAATTAATTATATAACAATTACTGTGCTTATGTTGAAAACAGCAACAAGATATATACAAGAAGCAAGCCCCAAGCGCCACAAGCAACAACATATCTGCTTTAAATTTTACAAACATAAAATAAAAAAAATTAAATTAAAGAGAAAACTAAAAAAACATATACTATTATTAGATGAGTCAAGTTTATTCATTTTAATACACACACACTCTCACACATATAATGCTTCCTTTTAAATGCAACATTTTATTAATTTAATATTTTAATTATACACTTTAATTTAAATTAACCAGAAAAAACTGTACATGTACACAAATAAAACAATATACACAAAAATAAAAATAGTTTCATTTTTGTTCAACAAGAAAATATTGATAAATATAATTGACTTCATGTTTTTAATTTTTAAGACATTTATTGGCATCGATAGAAGTTGAAAAATAAAAATAAATAAAAATATGTACTAAAAATGCAGGGAACAATTAAAAATTGTAAAAAAAATAACAAAAAAAGAAGACGTAAAAAACAAATGTGCGCATAAAATTTAAATTGTTTAGAAACATTTATGCGAAGTTTTTTTAACGAAAATCAATTTGAAAATCTGAAAATATTAAACTTCGCATAAATGTTCAAATACACACAGAAACACACACAGACAGACAAACACAAGCAAACATATTATATTTATGTAGTTGTTTTTAGCCGTGTTAGTTTTTGGTGTTTTTTAAAATAGATTGGTGATGTGTATAATAGAGCGCCGTATATAGAAAGCATATAGATTATATATATATATATGAACACAAGTATATATATATATATATATATTATACGATTATTAACTAATATATTAACTGATCAACTGTATCTGTAGCATGCGAAAGGCAATTTTTAATTAACAAATTCAAATTGTGTTGCAATATTTACCAAGGCAAGAGTTTAATTTGTAAGTTGCATAATGCATTAATCAAACATAATTTATACACGATAATTGTGAATGATTATTATTATTCAGATTATGATTACGATTATTGTCAACAATAAGCTGCTGAGTCGAAAAATGTTTCCTAAAACGCAGCCAATTAAAGGTAAAAGTAAAAGCAAAGCAAACACAGAGAAATGTAATGAAATGAAACAACAACAAATAAGAACATAAATCAGTAACAATACTAAGTAAATAGAAACAATAATGTACTATAATGCAGATACAATATACACACTATATATACCTACAATATATGCCTATACCGACGAATGAAATTAAATGAATGAATAATAATAATAATAATGAATACATTATACATACAACATAGAATCTATATATATTGTAAAAGTTAAATGTAACTAAATACATACAAATTGATGACGTAGTAAGCACCAAACAACAAATAAACGAAGGAAAAATTATAAATAATTAAAATAAAAATTAAGCAGCAACAACGCGCAGCATAAGCATATTACAAACAAATTGTTTAACATTTTTATTGTCCTACCACGAATAATTTTAACTTTTTTAAAGCATTCTTTATATAGCTCAACATAATTCAAATTTCTTTGCAGATTTGTGGGTTTAATCCTGAAGAAGATTAGTTTCTAAATAATAATGAGATCTTGAGCTAATTTGTTTTATTTATCATTTTCATATATTCACAATAATTTTAAATACTTATTTGTGTGAGTTTCTATATATAGATTTCTGGACTATTTTTTCTTTAGTCTATTTGACTTTGATTAACATCTTGATATACCCCAATCTCAAAAAATATGAGTGTTAATTAATATAAGTAATTTATAATTGAGAACACCTTTAATTTTTTATCAAAGTTTTTTTTTTCAAGAGATTAAGAACTAAGATTGTAGTAATCAGAGACTTAAACACATAGCTGCTATATATGCCTTGTAGCATCCATATATCAAGTGTGTTTTAAATCGCCTTTCACTATTTTCAATTCCATGAGATCAATATTAAGCTTCAGTGAGTAGAATTCACAATAATGGCATTGCCTTGTGGTAAGCAAGTGATCTTGGTGCTGTAAGGGTAAGCATTAGCATTAGAATTGTTGAAATGCAACGAATAGTTTTCTATTCGTTATCATCAAATTTTAAATTAAGTAAAATAAATAGTACGCAACAAGTGTCTAAACGGCGCACCTATCAAAAAGCGTTGCCAGCATAGTCATATAATTAAAAAGACACCCTGTTTAATACAAATACTACATATGTTTGCCTAACTATCGCCTAGTACCTTTGCGATAGTGAGTGAGCAATCGCCTGGCTAATGTTCCATCGCTAATTAAAGTAGGCAAGCTATTGTAGGTAAGTTAGGTAGGTGGGCCGTTCTGCCTGGAAAACCACCCTTAAAGTAGGTACGTTTTAGGTAGCCAGCTCTCTGGAAGTATGGACCCTGGACAGCTGGTCAGGCTGCATTTGTTTGGCAGTGTCTAAAATGCGCTGCGCCTGCCAACAACAGCACTTGGAATTCAAGCTCACACAGCCCACAAATGACCACAACCGGAGAAGCAGGTAAGTGCGAAAAATCAGCTTGAGTTGAATGCCAATGTCAATGCCAATTGCTGCTCCTGCCCTCTAGAGCCCCGGCCCAGATCTAGCTCGCTGCTGCAGCTGAACGATGACGTGCTCACCCTAATAGTGGCCCAGCTGAACGTGTATCAGCAGTTCGAGCTGAGCCAACTGCACAGTCGCCTGCGGAGCATTGTCCAGGCGCTGTGGCGCACGCGCGTGCGCAATGTGGCGCTGCAGGATGAGCTGCTGTGCCGTGCATCGTCGCGTCAGTTTCAGTCCTTTATGCTGGCCTTGGCACCGCATCTGGAGCGACTTAGCTGCCATCAGTTGGACGTGCGCAGGCTACGCTTGCTGAGCGACCACTGTCTGCCCCGGGTGATTAGCCTCGAGTGGCTGGGCGTTGATCAGCAGCCGCGACGTGGACGCGTGCGCTTCGTGGACGAGGATGTGCGTTTGCTGAAGCGCGTGTTTCCGTCGCTGCGCAAGCTGAAGCTGCGGGGCTGTCAGGTGACGGGTAAATATCTGCACGAGCTGGAGCTGCTGGACGAACTGTGCCTGGACGACTGCCAGTACCTGGAGTCGCAGCACTTTCGCGACATCTTTCGGCTGCTCAAGTTGCGAAAGTTCGACATCATGGAGGACTGCGACGAGGTGAACTGCTGTGATTTGATCGACGTACAGCTGTGCCCCACTCTCGAGCACATCAAGATCGCCGACTACCATCTCTGCATGGAGTCGGACATCACGCAGCAGCTGTTGCGCCTGCCACGCCTAAACAAACTTTCCATCTACTCCAAGAACTTTGTCTTCGATGTGCTGGAGCGCATAGCGCGACCCAGCAATGCCGCCGCTGGTGGCATCAAGCAAATCGAAGGCTTCCGCTTCAGCGGACTTCTACACGACTATGAACGGCTCTTTCGAGAGCTGAGCAATCTGCGCCATTTGCGCCGGCTGGAGGTGCATGGCCAGTCGGAGGAGGGACAACTGCAGTGCCTCGGCGATCAAGTGCTGTGCCAACTGGCCGCCCAGCTGCCCGAGCTGTGCGAGCTGCATCTCTGCGGCTATCAGCTGGAGAGTCCCGCGGGTATTTTGCAATTTGTGATCAACTGTCGCCAGCTGCGCATCTTGGACATGACAAGGTCGCGCTGCATTGGCAACGCCTTCGTCGGACGCTGCCTGGCGCTGCTGACCAAGCAAAGCTGGCGCACTCAGCCACTGGAGTTGTGGATCAGGCAGAGCGACATTATGCCCAGCATATTGCAGGTAAGCAGCGTCCATATTCTTAATACATTTTTATATATTTCACTAATTTTTGTTGCTTCTAGAATTTGCGCTATTTGAGAATCGATACCAAAAGTATGACGCCGAACATGGACTACATGTCAAGTGTGCTTAAGTTTAGCTTTGTAAGATGATGATTGATTACCTGTCCCAACTGTGCCTGAGTCTGTGGAAGCATACCTACATGCACGTGTGTCCATGTGTTATAATCTAATGCGGAAATTGAATTAAGACTGAAAAATTAAATGAAAAGTATGAAAAATGCCTTTTTATTTCTAACTGCGTTTTATCGTTGAGTTGTATTTGCCAAGGCTTTTAACAATACTTTAAAAATTAATATATATGTATCTGAAATATTGAATGGCTTCTTATCAGTCAGTGCGCATTTTCCCTCTGATTTTTGCTTATATATACAACGGAATTTGAAATTAACTTGTTGCAAATGTCTGTGAACTGAGGTCTGCGTCGGAATCAACACAAAACTAGTATTAGTATTTTTTTTGAGGTTTATTACGGTGTCATTCAGGTCAACCATGCGATCAAGTATCCTCCCCATTGATCAAAGCTTTCAGACTAGAGCATGGGAGTAGTTCGTTAGGCTGATAGCTTGTAAGTAACATACATTCAACATATTCAAATAATTTGAATAGCGAATGCTTTTCAGGCAGTTCATTGGGGTTAGCAAAACCTATTTTCTGCACTCTTTGCACTTGCATTCTTCTCTCTGCTCAAAAAAGCTATGAATATATTGTATGCACTCTTATAAATGCTCTCTTATACTCAAATGCTCTCTTATACTTTAATGCATACTCCATAGCAGTCTTCTGTTTTCTTATACTCTAATGCACTTTTATACAATAATGCATTCTTATACTCTAACGTACTCTTATACTACAATGCAGTCTTATACCTCAACTTTCAATCCAATTTACCTAACTGCAGAAAATCCAATTAGAAATAGAATTCTTTAACAGCTTATGCTTTAGTAATCTATTTATTGTTACTTTTCACAAGTGACATAAAGTTGATAATTAGTAAACATATTTAAATGTATTTAATCAGATGTTTAGAACATATAATTCACATATATTTTGTTGAATATGATTATATGTGTACGCATGTGTGCAGAGCTGAAGTTCAGCATGTGTACATGAATGTATATATGTATATATATATATATATATATATATATATATGTATTTGTATAATCTGTCCTCCTAGTTTTGGTTTTATCAGATCAACGCCATCGGGCATTGCGTCCAAGCGATTGGAACGCGCTTCTTATCAGTGTGAGCGAACGCACGACAAAAAAAATGAAACAGGAATAAAATAAAAGTGGAAAACACGAAAATTTGTTATGTTTAGTTAATGCAGCACCCAGTTGAGCTGCCCAGTTGACCAGTTTGCTGGCGATAACGCGCCTCGAGTGGAGCCGTGCAAGTGCCATGTTATGTTGTTCCCAATTCGGGGAATGCCTCTCGGCACTGGCTAAATCATTAAAAGATAACCCTTGCCAAGATTATGGAGCTGTCCCACCGAGCTGTTCATTAAAACAACACTAATAAGTACTGAGTGCACAGCCATAAAAACGAAAACTGTAAAGAAAAATAAATATTACAATTTTATATGCTCAATACACTGATCGAAATTGTGTGTACTCCTCACACGGAGCCATTGACCGATCCGTGATATAATTAAAATGTCGCTACCATTCTGAGTGAACTCTCGCTCCGATAGCGACGCATCGTCTCGTCGAAAGTATGCAACACTTATTTTGCTCAGTGCATCCATTTCGTTCCATAGACGTGGGCAGGCGGTATCACTTCATGAGTCGCGATCACTGTTGCCGCCGCTGCATAATCACTCTCTCACTTTTTTCTTTTCAATGTTTTTAGTCTTTTTTTTCGTCAAGTACTAATATTGGAGCTGGCTCCTTCAAGTCGCCAGTCGTTATCAAGTCGGCATTTAGTGCGCCTCGCAGCTCAACGCAACGCAACGCAACGCCTCGAGATCCAGAAAATCTCATGATCCAGTGCTAACTTGTAGGACTCGAAAAAAGTAGAACCAAAAGAAGTGTCGATGCCAATGGAATTGTAGCTTGAGTAGTGGGAAGCGTCTCTTATCAGAGCTGTACTGCGACGATAACCCATATGGACCTTTGAGATTGCGCCCAGCCACAGCAGACAATAGAAGACAACTGGAAATACCTTGCGCTTGCCTCTAAAAAAGTGATTCATATCTCCAAAATATAATATTAGAAGGGTAAGTCAGCGCATACCCAGCAACAGGTCTGCAGAGAGCAAAAGTTGGGCATCTATTTTTATTTTTTTACTTTATTTCGAATATTGCTTAAATACTTGTATATTATATTTTCTGAACTGCTTTAATTGCTCAGCTAAATCCTTTATTTCTTTCTTACTTTAACCCCCACCTCTTTCCCTTCTTTGGTATCGCAAAGAAACTTTGATCTTCACAGCGGAATTGTTTTAATACCATTTAATGAGCACTTTAAGTTTATATGACCATGGAAAATGCTGTGAAAATAAATAAAAAATTAGAGTACTTTCCTAAGATGATCGCAGAGCTCAAAGTTTAGATAATAAAAAACAGGTAAAACCTTGCGAGAGAATAATAAATGTTTGCACATGAAGCTTATGAATTAAAAACAAATATACTCTGTGCATTGCAGGTGAGTATAAATAGCAAAAATAATCTGATTCTTAAATCAATTTCTAATCAATGGGGCTATTAAAGTAAAGGTTTGCAACATAGTAAGCCTTAGAGCTCTGCATATAAACAATGTAAATGATACACCTTATGCAAATTTGTGCCTATAATTACTAGATATATTCTACCTTTTACTTAAGCTACAAGATATTCATTTTAGATACTTGCTAATAGTTTGCATATCTAATTACAAGAAGCTAGATACTAGATGATTTATGTTAGCCGGGTGCAGTTTCGTTCATAACTTAATATTTACCATAAATATACGGCAATTAAAATGCCTAAGAATATTTTATAGGACGGCTATTGCTAATTGCCGTAGTCCGATAAAATATTCTCCGCTATTCTTAACCTATTGGCAGTACGATAGAAATCTAATCTAAATAATCACATTGCAGAGCCGACTATTGCGTTGTGAGGGTCATGATCGGAAAAAATCGCATTGCTTTGACCAGTTTGGTGGGTTTACTGCTCGCCGCCTTGGGTCTAATATCTGTACTGAATTTCGAACGTATACAGCGACGCACCTTAGAGTGGGTAAGTCCAGCCAGTACTAGCTGATCTAAATGAACGACTATTCAGCAACTCACAATGCTCCGCAGTTTATGGTGCTCAAGCCGAACTCGATGCTGACCAACCTGTGGCAGTCGCCCAGCTTAGGCATGACTGCAAATGTCTTCATCTTTAACTGGACGAACTCGGAGGAGTTCAACAATCCAAATGTGAAGCCGCGCTTCGAGGAGCTGGGGCCGTATGTCTTTACGGAGAGACAAGAGAAACGTAATGTGGTCTGGCACCCGGAGAACTCCACAGTATCCTACATGCGCCGCAGCCACTTCTACTTTGACAAGGAGGCCAGTGCCCGAAATCTCACGGACTCCATCGTGGCCCCAAACACGCTGAGCGTGGGTCTAGTCAACAAGATGCAGAAGTGGAATCCGATGTTACGCACTCTGATGTTAATGGCCATCAATATGAATGGCAATGAGCCGACCTTCATTAGGCCAGCCGACGACTGGCTCTTTAGTGGCTTCGATACGCCGCTGATAAAGATTAGCAAAATGGTGCCCACTCGCATGGTGCCGGAGCTACACTTCCCCTACGAGCGCATTGGCTATGGCTATCCGGTAAGCTCAAGGCACATTAACATGAAAGCCACAACTCTTCATCCTTCCCTCTCGCAGCGCAATGACAGTGAACAGATCTACGGGCATCACAATGTCTACACTGGCCAGCAGGACTTCAGTAAACTGGGCCAAATAGCCCGCTGGCGCTACGATAATGTGACAGCTGGTCAGCCCAACTGCAAGTTGAGCGGCAGCACGGGTGAGTTCCATCCAATTCCGCTGCTCGAGGGCAAGCCGATCTCATACTTCTTGCCCGACATTTGCCGCGAGCTGATATTGGACTATGCGGGCAAGACGCTCTTCGAGGGCATCGCGGCGCACGTTTACAAGGGCACTCCTAGAAATATGGCAAATGGTGAGTCAATTCAATGGAGGCGCTATGCAGACGACATTAATTATGCCAATTTGTAGGCACTGATAATCCTGAGCACAGCTGCTACTGCACGGGTAGCTGCAAGGAGGTGCGCTCTGGTGTCCTGAATTTGTCTGCCTGCTGGTACGATGTGCCTGTGTTTGCATCCTCTCCACATTTCTATAATGCCGATCCCTACTACGTTGATGCAGTGGAGGGCATGAAACCCGACAAGGAGCGCCATGAGATGACTGTCATACTAGAGCCCACCACTGGCATGCTGTTAGACATCAAAGCGCGTCTCATGATCAGTCTGCTGGTGGAACCTCGTCCAGAGTCGTGAGTATTTCTAAAAACTTCCATTTGAATCTTTAAATAAAGTGAAAACTTCTCGCATTGCAGCATCTTCCGGAAGTCACGTCGCACTTTCTTTCCACTCGTTTGGGTTGACTACAGAGTACGCATCACGCCCGATCTGCTATTCTACCTAAAGCTCCTACCGATCTCTGTGCTGATGGGTAAGATCTGTAGCTGCATTGCTGTAGGATTGGGCCTCGTCCTGCTACTCTGGTATCCGCGCCAGATCTTTTTGCATAAGCACTTTATGCGTAAGATCGATATAACTAACCTGGAAAACCGAATGCAGGCCGCAGCGACTGTAGAGATTAAAGCCCAAGGAGTCGAGGATTCCCCTCTACTCGTGGGACTACAGTTTGTGCCATCGTCTGGAGATGCGTAGCTCTGGACGGCTATATTGAATAGAATGTAATGTGATAGGGTTCTAGTTATAGGATACACATTTTAAGTCTGAATATAAGTGTTAACGCCGTTCGATATTTTGCGGTGCTCTAAAATGAAGCTAACAAAATATATTATCAAATGCTGCTTGCCCTTCTTTTCAATTCAATTTTATGAATAAAATATAGGAATCATAAGAGATTAGCTATGTGTATAGCTCATTATTATATTTTTTATTAATTGATATATTATATACGTTTATAATTTGTTTAAGTGCCGATCACCTTATTATTATTTTATATTATGTGCATTGAGGTCAAACAAAGTTAAAGTTGAATAATCTCTGATTTAAAACTTTTAATTATTTCAATGTCTCTCTCTCTCTATCTTTCTTTTCTTTCCGTTTAAATGGTTCAATTACTTACGCTGATCGATTTTATGTTATCGAAACGAACTGTAGGCTATACAAAAAAACTAATCACGCAAACGGCAAACTCGCTTACTATTTACTGATAAGCATTTTAAATATATAATTTTATATACACTTGAGTATGTGGTCAGATAAATGCACATATTTTAACGTTAAATCATTTGTTGGCAAAAGTCCGTTAAGACTATTTGAATAAAATCGAATTATGACCGTTTCATGTCGATTATGTGCATATGCATAGTAATATAACCGTTTCAAAGACATGGAACCGGTTTTGTCATGGATGGGCAACACGCATTGCCAGAGAGCAAAAGAGATGGTGAGAGCTAAACGAGAGAACGACAGCTCTTGAACAATGCGTATGCTCTGTTACTGCTACACGCTCATTTGTGCTGCATACCCTGTCTTCATTCATCCTATCATTTTCATAGCCATTTTGTAACACATGTGTATATTTTTTATAAATATCTATCTGTATTGTCTACACATTCGACTGTATTGGTATTTGTGTTTGATCCAGTATGTACATATCAGCAAAATACTATTTGTTATGAAAAAAAAACTTGATTCCCTAAAATATGCTGCAGTTTGAACTTAGTTTATGGCCATCTATAATTATTTTGAAGCTTTTATTAATACTGCAAAAGTTTCCTTCAAGAAAAATTAATTTTCAAAATTAATAATCTAACTGTAGCGTATTTTTTAGTCGACCAGCTAAATACATTTTTATATTTGCGTTTAATGAAAAATATATGTATAATTGCTGCTTGGTGGCAATTTGAAAACAGAAAATAGTTTCAGTCACAGAATAGGCACAGCGCCACTCGGACACAAATGTTAAGCGGCGCGTGGCTGTTTGGCTGAGTTCAAGATCAAGTTAACGGTTCGTCGTTGTCTAGTGATTAAAAGTCGTGTGAGCGAATGAGACGGAAATAAGCAAGAAATAGACGCCGCAATGCAAACAGACACAGTAAAGACCACACAGCGCATTTGACGAATCGTTTTAATGATAATATCTAATAAATATTTATACTCGCGTTATTTAAATTGAATTCAATTGAAACGTATTTGAGAACGATAACAAAGTATACGATTGTAAAATGGCATGCGATTCGAACAAAAAACGAAGAAGCAGCAGAAGTGACAACTGCAAAAAGTGCTAAAATAAAAGTTGAATACGCAAATATAAAACAACGTTTTTTAGAGCTAAAACGTAAGAAACAAATCCCTACGCATGTACTAACTTGTTGTTTCTGTTGAGAGTCAGTGAGAGTGAGTGCGTGTGTGTGAGCGCAAGCATACTCGTCAGAGAGCACAAACGCGCGAGCGCGAGAGCCTTAATCGCAGAGTGCTTGCTAACCATACGTTCCTTTTTATAACGATTATCAAACATAAAATAAATATACATACTTGTTGTTTCTTTTCAAATTTTGTTGGAGTTGCGTTTCGCAATCCAGATCGTGACGCATAGTTAGTGAGTTTTCTGATTAATAAAGCAAATTAATAATACAAATTAAGACACGAACTGAGGGAAGATACAATGTATGTAAATACCTATGTATGTACTTATGTTCAGTTTGGCACATTGCACTGTTGTGTCGTCTATTTATAGGTGTTTTATAGCAACAAGAGCAACAAATAAAGCATATGAGTAAACATAGCAAAACCGCATAACATGTCAACAGGTTGCGGAAGTGACGTGCATATCAGCTCAAGGATTCCTGTGCAAGTAAATAAAAAACATTGAATTATTTTAGTCAATAGCCCACTAAAATTGTTAACAATGGCTGTTGCTCTGGCCCAGCAACAGCGCGAGCGAACGTTTTTGCCTCTCTATGAATAAGTGTTAAGTTCGCGTGATTATTGCTTTTTTTCTGTAGTCCCAAGTGAGTTTGCACTATGTTAAAAAAGTCCATAATCTGGGTAAATACCGCGTAAAGTAATCAGAGCGCAAAGCAAAAAAGGCAGTAGTAGGCGTTGCTGTGAAGCGCTGGGCGTTAACGGAGTGCAGCAATCGAATCAGGGAAAACGGGTTTTCTCAGTGTTTATTTAACCTTGCTACGTGCATCAATAACAAATGAACGCACGTACATATATACACATACTTACATATGCATAGGAATGTTTAAGTGTTATTGCTTCATCACGGCAAAAAGGCCCAAACAGTCATACCTTGACAAAAATAACTTACTTTTGTCTCCCACTCTCAGTCCCACTGCAAATCGAACCGGTTAAGAGCCTGACCATGAATAGTAAAAACATTGAAACTTTCTATAATGCTATGAATTGTAAGTTTTTTGGTTCGGATTCTCGTATAGCGGTTATTTGCGCGAGCATTGACAAATAAAAATTTTTGTTGGCAATTAGACATAGTAAGATTTATACGACGCAGTAAAGCTTTGTGTAGCGCTGCGAAGCGTCATCCGCTTAATTTTAATAGCACCTCTCTTAGGCAGTGCTCTCTTTGGGCTCTCAAAATTCCTAGACGAGCCTTTGCCGCTTTCGATAACAATAACGATAAGCCGTTGCTCGCCTGTAGACGAGCTCGCACACATGCACATAATTACTAACATGGACTTTAACATTCTCTTTTTTTGCTTATCTGTATGTGCAGGCAGCGTCAACGACTTCGGCGGCGACAATTCAGAAGCGTTTAGCTTCAGTGCAGCGCAGTAAGAGCAAGAGAACAGGCGTAAAGAAAGCAACGAGAGTTGCCTGCATAACAGCAAAAACAAGAGAAGCCTTTTGCACAGGCAAGGCCAAAGACGTTGGCAGTAATCGTCATCGAAAATCGCAAAAGCAACAACAACAGCAGAAGCCAGAGATGACGTCACGTGCACGCCACTGTGCCTGGCGGCTAAGCATCGTCATTTTGGGCGCTTTCTGTATAGCTGCTGGCGTTTATCTTCTGCGCAACTGGATTGACATATTTACGCGCATGCGCGGCAAGGTAAGCCATACATGTATTTATTGCACGATTCTTGCATCTTGCTATCAGGTCTTATCTAATCGCACAGTCAGTAATTACATCAGTCATTGCCCGCTCTTGCCACGAAAAGTTCCATCTCTAACCACTACAATAGAGTCCAGCTCTCGCATATGTCAATTTGCCGAAACGTTGAGAGGTCAACTGAATGTGAACCCTGCTCATTAGCATACAATTAGTGCGGCATTGGCGACGGGAGTTGGGGCTTGGCTCACCACTTGTCTCTTTCCAAATCAATTGGAATCAATTTCCACAAAGACAGCAAGAATTGAGTGTGTGCAGGTGTTCGAAAAATAAAAACCCTAGATAAGATACATTCGTATGGTCACATTACATTTTTTCTATATTTTGGCAAGTGACTAAGTCGAGCGAGTTAGAAGCTTTGAGTAGCTGGTATCAGTATATATGGATTGATATCTCATAACCGCTCAGTGACATGAATCACTGAGGCAGCTGCAGTCAAAATCGGATCGCAGATCTATTTTGCAATTATGCTAACAACGGAAATATTTACGTGTATGTTGCCCAGACAACAAGAAAACAAACAATTTGAGCTTTTTCCGTAACAAGTACTTTTATCTTATCTCAAACCAGTTATCAATAGCGCTGACTGCCATTGGGCGATTAGAAACGAGGTCCGGATCGCCCTTGTTTCTGTTTTCTGTCTATTCACTTTGAACGGGTTGCATTTCCTGCAAACTAAATTCATAAAAGGCTTTACTACTGATAACAATCGAATTGGGCCTTGACCACCGAACACCTGTTTAGCAGATTTATTATCTATATATAAAACGAACAAAAGCCAGAGAAGTGTATTTAAACTTGTGCATATTCACACGTGTCGTTGCCGCACAACATAGCTATCGCCTTTTATCAGTTACTCATTTCCTGAACTCGAGAATAATTCACAAATAAAAAGAAACTAGTTTCGCTTCGAGATTATAGTTAAAAACTTAAATTTCAAAATGGCCGCCTCGGATTTATTCCAAGTGGTACACACTTAAAACCGAACCGAACCGAACCGAACCATATGATGATTACATGTCGTGATGGATTATTGATGGGCCGCCTGGCATTGCTGATAACATTAGACTCACATGACATTTGACTGAACGATTGGAAAATTGCATAGATAGCCAACAATGTAGCAAGAGGTTGTTTGAAACATTCTCAAAGCACACGCAGTTTCTGTATGCGCCAAATGATGCCTCTCTCTGAACCAAATAATGAGCTCACATGTGTTTTATGTTTTGCCTATGCCGGACGGCTTAGTGGTGAGCCGGGTTAAATTTACGAAATGAGTTTCTGGTAATATCAACTGATACTGCTGCTGTGTTAGTTACACATTTCAGATTCAATACTTTGGATTGTAACTGAGCCACACTGTAAATATGTTATATAAACAAAGCTCCTATCTAATTGCATATTTCAGGAAATGGCACTCAGTCCCACATCGCCAGCGTTCGAGGGCTGGAAAGTGTCGCCTTTGCCGCTTAACTTTGATGTTTATTTATTCAATTGGACCAATCCAGAGGATTTTCACGAGGGCTCGGCGAAGAAACCGCATTTTGAGCAACTCGGGCCCTATCGCTTTCGGGAGCAACCCGATAAGGTGGACATCGAATGGCACAATCAAAACGCTTCAATTTCATTTCGCAAAAAAGCCTACTTCTATTTCGATGCTGCTGGCAGCAATGGGACGCTGCAGGATATCGTTACCTCGGTGAACACAGTGGCTCACGTAAGTTATTTATTATTGTTTTATTAGTTTATTCAAGATTTGAGTTAATAAATGTTGTTTGCTTTAGGCGGCTGCCACACAATTTCACCAGTTGAACACTTTCTTTCAATTTGTGGCGTCTACCACACTGAGCTCCACGCAGGAGGTGAGTGACACGCGAACTGCTGAGGAGTGGTTGTTCAAGGGCTATGTACACTCCTTGGTGACTCTGGGCAAAATGATAAGCCCGGAAAATGTGCCCTTCGATCGTGTTGGCTATCAGTATGGGCGGAATGGCACTACCAGCTTTGATGGCGACATCAACATGTTCACTGGCTCTGATGACATTAGTAAAATGGGTCAAATTCATACCTGGAACAATTTGACGCACACGGGCGCCTATAATGGAACTTGTGGCAACGTTATGGGTTCAATGGGTGAATTCTTTCCTCCCAATTTGAACACCAATGACACCGTCTACCTCTACATGCCCAAAATGTGCCGAGCCGTGCCGCTGGACTACACGGAAACAGTAAGCATACACGGAATCACAGCATACAAATTCAGTGGCACTCGGCACGCTGTGGACAATGGCACAATGTATCCGGACACCCGTTGCTTGTGTGTGGATGACAAATGCTATCCAGCTGGTGTCATTAATACTAAGCATTGTAGTTTCAACACTTCCATATTCATGTCATATCCGCACTTTTATCTGGCCGATCCCAGCTATCTGGAAGCTGTGGACGGGCTGCAGCCGGAGAAGGAGAAGCATGAATTTTTCATGGCTTTGGAGCCAAACGCTGGCGTGCCCATGGATGTCGGTGGTGGGTTCCAGGCAAATTATTTAATGGAGCCGGTACCGGGCGTTGCGTAAGTATATATTTTATTACTCAACATATGAATAGAGATTAATCAGTTTACTCGTTGTTCTAATTTTAGAATATATGCGCGTGTTCCACGCGTTATGCTGCCACTTATGTGGGCTGAAGAACGAGTCCGTGTCAGCGAGGAAATTGCCAGCAACATTGGCATAGTTCCACTCATTGTTGTACTGGGCCAGGTATTTACGGGCATCCTCCTAGCCGGCGGCCTCATTTGCACCTGTTGGTATCCGACGCGCAAATTGACGAGCCTCTGTCATAGCGACGATCCCAAAGCCAAGGCGTCAGTACTTCGTCCGCTTACCACATTTGGCGCTGGCGTCAGTGCGACTGGAGCAACGATAAATGTACAGCAGTTATTCCGTCAGAATGCCAGCCATAACGACCGTGTGGGCGTACGTCTGTTAGATTACAGACGGAGCTCTGGGATAGAAGATGGCGATGATGGGAGCAGCCACGGCAATACGTCTAGAGATCGCCTAATACAGAGCAGTTCAACAGATGTGATAATTAGTTAACCTAATACATAATTTGTAGCACCCTGCATTTTCTATCGATGTTATATATTTCTACCTATATGTTGCCTTAGGGGAGCCAAAGACATGCACCGCGCCACGTCTCGCCATTAAGACTCAACGGACCTTAGTTAACGGCTGTTAGTCCTTAGTCGAGTTGCTTAATTCATAACATTAAATAGATTAAGGACCCCACGTTCCACATACACACACATACAGCAATACACTCGCGCGTGTACATAGAAATAGAAGCCCACATCATGCTCACATGCCTTCCTCATTCAATAGCACCTCAAGCAGTAGGAGTATCGAGAGAGATTGATAAGATTATTTATTAATTAGTGCCAAAAAAAATATGAAAGAAACCCCAAATAAGTCATTTAATTATTTTAGTAGGCTAACTTAACTCTGTATATAAGTGATTATCCTAGGTCTAAAGCTATCAATCCCCCTGTTAAAATTAAAACTGCGCACGTCCAAAGTATTTTTATATATTCTATTATACATATTTAAATTTAATGCATAATTATTATTTTTCTTGTAAAGCGATATATAAGATTTTTATAAAACGCAAATGAAGTGATATACAAAGCTTAAAGGCATATTCATAGAGCACTCTGCAGTGAATAATTCATTAATAACATTTAAAAGAAATCAAGAAAATAAAAAGGAATTAAACAAAAAAAAAAACAGAAATAATACGAAATTCCCATGCGTTCGTCTATACGCTTTTCAACCAGCTGGAGAAGGCCCAGAAGCAGAGGCTAACGAAGCTGAAGCTGACCAGGGAGTTGAAGGTGCCAGCACCGTTACCTGGCTTGTGCAAATCTAGTTGCGAGGACAGCTCCTCTGGTACGTCCAAATAGACACGATCCAAGCCGAAACTGAAGATTAGCTTTCGCAGCTCTGCCACATTTACGTAATCGTTTTCTGACGACCAAATGGTTAACGTGCTCTCATTGGTGTCATTTACAGCTGCCACCAGAGCGTGCAGCTGCGGTCCGCTATTGGCTGCGATGCCGGCACGCACTGGAAAGGTGATGACCTGCCCGGTGGAGGTCACATTGTTGTCGTTGATAGCCTGTAGCATTGCATCGCACTGAGTCTGAGTGTACTCGCCCTCCCGGTAATCGGCGCTCCATCTGGTCGTCCAGCCAATGGACAAGACGGCCTGCTTGTAGCGCATACAGCCGGCAAAAAAACGTGACGGATCCACGGGCACTGAGCTGTTTTGCTCCACTGGGCCACTGATAATATCCGCGTTTATCCAAATAGGATAGGTCATCTAAAGAAATATATTTAGAGCTTGCTACCTTCCTTAATAGTGGTGTTCACCTTTGGAATGCTCTCATCCAGTATATCGAGCGACCCCTCAAATACTTCAATAGACTTAAAGTCCAATTTTACGCCCTTCTCGGCGCCCTCATGGCCCTCGTTGTAGTCCTTAATTTGATACAGAAACTCCTCTAGGGTCAAATCCGAAACGGTTGCAGGTGGGTGTGCCATAACCGGTAATACGGGGCCCTCGCCATTCAGCTGGCCGAGAACAATGTCAGCCTCAATCATTTCAATGTCACCTGTGAAATGAAGCGTGGATAGCTGAGTTCAAAGTAAAAAGTGATTGAAGAACTAATTTATACTTACCGCCAAGCGCCTCATCCAGCAGTTGCTGACTGTTGACGGCATGCGCCCAGCTAATGGAGGTCAGATTGGATGCCTTAGCCATAAGTTTGCCTTTATCGAATCGGACCATGTCCACTATATCATGCTGCCTGTGTTCCTGCAGCTCAATATCGATAGGCGCACTATGTCGCAGTGGTTGTGGTGCTACTAGCTCGTAATAATAGACGCTGTCGTTCACAGCAGTTCCATTGATTTTAACCACAAAGTGTGCTATTTAAATCAATTTTTTATTACAATAACAATCGGCCAGAGTGCCAATTCCAAAAGATATGCATAAATGAGAGACTTCTTACCTTTGGGAAAACGATTTACAATCGACGCTCTCGGAGACAGTCACATGAATGAGGAACAATTGTTTACCCACAACTAGAGTTCAATTCTCTTTGAGTGCGCATACAAACACATACCGTTTGAATAAATGTGTGTGTAGTGTGATTGTTTCTGTGTATGTGAGCGCGGCCACCAGTGACGGTTTATGAATATTAGCTTTATTAAGGCGCTGTTTGCTGGGCCAATTTCACCGAGTGCTGCTGCAGCACAATTTCAACTGAGAGACATGGACATGAATAAAAAGTAATGCGATTTATGATGTTTATATTATGAAGCAATGACATATGGATTGCCCCAGTGCGCATGCGCCTTATGGTGCAAGTGATGCGTGAACAAGCAGATGAAAGTTTTTTTTAGATAAGTTTAAGCATTATTACCAAGCATGCAAATCAGTATTGCAACTGACATTGACCCTTGATAGTCTCGGCGTGGATCTGAGCTTTTAATTGCCATGTTCTTGCCGGAGCTAATGTAGTGAAACAATTACATTTTCCTTTATTAATCAGTAAATAATATACGCATATATATAGGTAAGATAAGTAAAATCTACTGATTAAATTTGAAGTACTCTTTTCTTCCTCTTATCGTTGACTTTTGATCATCCAATTAAAATCAATTAATTATTAAGTGTTTAATCGTGTGTAACTAATGCAACTTGAAAACAATCCGACCGATTATATCATTAAAATCAAGTTTTTTAAATAATAATAATAATATATTAATATTTTAAACACAATATTTTACTTACCGCGAAACTTATTGAATATAGCGCAATAGGTTCTAGAGGAGGCCGATAGCTCGTTGTAACAAGCGATACATCGTTTGGAAGATATCGATATCAAATTAATATTGGTCTTCAACTTAATACCGATTGCCGCTATTGTCAAAAATGATCGGCAAGCCGTAATAAAAACAAAACAAAATAAAGAATTTAGCTTAATTATACACTAAAAGATTAGATTATACACTAAAAGAAGTATATTTTAAAAATGAATGTTCAATTTTTTATTTACATATTCCTAGCTATAATAAACGCTTAAATGCTTACCTTAGAATTTCACTTCCTGCATCACGATAGTCTCAAATGTGGTCTTATCGATTGTTGACCCATATTGGCCCTGTTAACATATAATATTTTATTACTAAAATTTTAATTCACTCAATTTCACTGCTATGCACTGATTGTATTTAATTAGTTTATTCTAATTAATCGATTTTAAAAAAATTTGACTATTGCGATTCCCTTTCCCTTTTTAAACTATTAAAACTTAACCTATCAATCACTGGTTTTCTTCAGTGTATTACTGTTCAATAACAGCGGAACACAATGTAAAGTTTATTTTGATGTCTTACAATCAGCTGACGACTTCTCGAAAATAAAACAAAAATGATTATTTATGGAGTGTATATAGTTAGTAAATCCGGTGGTCTCATATTCAATCTCGACAATAATGTGCCCCGAATAGAGCATGAGAAGACATTCACATACCCGCTGGACTTGGTGCTTGACTACGACCCCAAGAAAGTTTCCGTAGCGTTCAACCGCAAAGATGGAATCAATGGTAGGCGTTGCCTCTTTCTTTATGTTTCTCTGTTTTATCAAATTGTATTGCAGTGGGACATGTGCTGGTCGCTGTCAATGGCATGGCCGTCAATGGCGCCACGCTGGAGGATGGTCGCGATGTCAAGACCACGCTGGAGTCAGCGGACAATTTTCCTATTAACCTAAAGTTTAGTCGACCCAAAATGACAACAAACGAGAAAATCTTTCTCGCAAGTATGTTTTATCCGCTGTTTGCCATCGCCAGCCAACTTAGTCCAGAGCCCAAGAGTTCTGGCATCGAGCTGCTGGAAGCAGATACCTTCACGTTACATTGCTTTCAAACACTGACGGGCGTTAAATTCATTGTGATCTCTGAAACTGGCCTGAATGGCATGGATCTCTTGCTGCGCAAGGTCTACGAGCTGTATTCAGATTATGTACTCAAAAATCCATTTTATTCTTTGGAGATGCCCATACGCTGTGAATTGTTTGACAATAAGCTGCAGGAGCTGCTATTGCAAGTGGAAAAGACGGGGATTAACAATATTGATAAATAAAATTTATAATTTGCTGATACAACTCTTGAGCTGCATTCATTAAGTGATCAATTTACAGAAAATCTTTCTATAGTACTTAGAAGACATGTAGATGAAAGCAGCTCAAAGTGTTCTTTTGTTCGTCGACTCTTTATATTATTATATTGATTCCTCTATAGATGGAAACAACTGTTGCAAATGATCATGCTGTTAGCATAGGCTTCCTATAGTATGTTCGCTTGGCACACGTAGCTCAGGAGAGACGCACAGGGCTCATCTGATAGGCCGAGTGCCGTTGCTTGAACACAATACTCATTGCCCGCCTGGTTGTCGGGCTGTCCGGCCTGCCACCTGTTATAGGGCATGGCCACTCCAGTTGTTATTGAAATGAAGTCCCTATCCTTGGCCAAGCAGTTCGAGGATATCCAGAAACGATCCGAGCTCGTAATCGCTACAATCAAGTCCATTTCAGTGGCGCTCTCGATATTCAGCAAGTATCCGCCCAACTTGCGGCAGCTCTCCACTGCTCCAAACCAGTTGACCTTCAGCTTGGACTCAATATAATAAAGTTTAGTGCCAATTCTGATGGGGAAGTCTTTGCAGCTGCTAAGGCATTTGCCCAAATCATTCGTTTGTGCAGTGACATCAGCTGAAACAGAGTTCGAGTAGTTCCACTTCGAGTCCTCGGTCGATTATTCGGTTTACTCACGTGTCTCATTCGACATGGCGAAATGCCCCAGTTGCAGCAGAGCTAGGAGTAAAACTATTTTTACATTCATTTTGCTTGGATTTGCTAGTCGTTGCCAGTTCTAACTAAGCTCCTAGTATTCCGTATTTATACCTTTTTGCTCCCATTGAGAAGTTATCAAAGAACAGGCGTAAGATAACATGTGCTAAGTGCTAAAAGCCTAACACAAATTGTCAAATCATTATGGGCTAACGAGATTGTAAATTGCGTAATGGGGAAAGTCTACCTGAAGTAAATTACCTAAATAATCTATTATACTTACTCACATTTGTTATATATCAATTTGAGGGTTAATTGCCTACTTTATTGAAACGGAAGTAATAATTGTTACTAATACCAATCAGAGTAAGCTTGCCCTTTATAGCAGGCAAAAAAAAGCAGAAGAGGCGGAAGTATATTCATGTAAGTCTATCCTTGATTAAGCCAGTGAACTGGGTCGACTATATCATACTATATATCTACTCTCATGCATAGCCTATTCCTAATTCAGTTAATCAATTTATCGAAAGCCATGGCATTAATTGATCTATTGAAACACGAATTGCTCAGTAGAAAAGAGAGCGTATAACAAATATGCCCATTTATGGGAATACAGGGTATAATGGTTTCGTTAACATGACCTATTCTATAAGGTATATATAATTCTGTTTATTAGCTTAATTGGTCTTCTGATATGCGACATTTATTACTTATATCTTCAGCATAATAAAGATAATGAACTCGTTTCCGATCCAGTTGACTTCTGGCGGGAATATTTATAATATGCAATTTTCAATTCTTGATTATCTCTAATCGATATGTTGCAAATTGAACAGTATAAATAGGAAAGCTGTTGGCTAGCCGGTAATCAGTTGGACTAAAGGCAGCAAGATGGCAAATAGGCTCACGTTTCTATTAATGCTTCTACAACTTTGGCACTTTGCCATGCCAAGTCAGTCGGGTAAGTGATAGTTGGAAACAAAAGTTATCTCTTAATGGTTTTCGCCTATCTTCGTAGTCAACGATCTATCACAGTTTGCCGATTCGAATCGGACAGGTAAGTCTTGTGCTTGATAACGATAACACAGGCTGTAAAATGTGAAATTTTAGTTTTCAATCTGGATGCACTTACTGAAACTCAAACAAACTTTCCCATACAAATTGGCAAGAAGTTCTACCATGTTGAGACCAAGTTGGAGGTCAACTGGCATCAGGCCGCGCACAATTGCCGCCAGCTGGGGGGACACTTGATCAACTTTGAGAGCAGCCAGGAAATGGACGTGATTCTATCGATCGTGCCATCTGCCAGATACTGGACCTCTGGTAACTGTCTAGCAAAGGACAGGGTTTGGATCTCCATTGCCACTGGCGAGGCCATGCCCTACCTAAGATGGCATGCAGGCGAGCCCAACAATGCGGGAGGCGCAGAGCTTTGCATCGAACTCAAACGGACCGCCTTCAATGATGATCGATGCGCGATTGCAATTAATTATATATGCGAAGCCAAGATATTGTAATATAAAAGGCTAAGAAGAGAATATTTGTGATCCCTTATCTGTAAGGGACTCTTAAAATAAGATCACAGTTTATCTTTTTATATGAATACGTATATTTAATAGATTTTATATAGGTATAATTTTTTCGGTTTACTGCTAAAGCAATACAAAATTGTTATTTAAGCTACGAGTTATATAGGTCTATATAACAGCTACTGGCATACTTAGAAAGTTTAATGTATTTATATTCGCACTAATGATGTATATACAGGCTGTATGTATGTATGTATGTATGTACACACCCATGAATGAATTATATTATATTTTTCATAATGCTAAAACGCACATTATATATATTATATACATACATATGTCGATGCATAGCTATGTATGTGTGTAGATATATGTATAGTACAGACAATTCGATTTCCCGCTTATATATTAATTGCATGTTAGGCTAAAGAAATATAATACGAGTGGTGCGTAGGCGATTGAATGTTTATATATAAAGGTTAATAATTGTAGAATTGTCTGGTATAGTACATATAGTGGTTACTCGTATAGTTTATTAATAATATTGCAAAAAGTTTTGGGACTCTCATTAGATAATTGTTTCGTTTTTTTTTTTTTGTTTTTTCTTCCATTTGTTTTTGAGCTATTACAACTGCGCCCTATCAACATTTCTAGGCTTCACATAGATCAGATAGTGTTCAAAACAAATCTACCCAAAAGGCGATGCGCAGATCTTTGCCAGTTGGGCTGCGTATTCCATGAAGTGAACATTATATATAGAGAGTGTACAATTAATTTAGTTATTTTATATTACAATTATACATTTATTCTTCTCGTTTTTTTTTTTTGGCAGGAACACTTTGCGGTTGGTTCGTTTCGTTACGTTTCGTTTCGTTTCTAAACTGATCAAATTAACAAAAAACAATACAAAACAAAACATTTCGAACTTTACTCAGTCGTTGGCCTCTTGGCACCTCTTCTGGTTCAGATATTTGGTTTACTTGCACAATTAAGTTCAGCATTATCTAATGACACATCGGAACAGCGCTTAAACTCTATCGACCTAAAAGCTATTAGCTGGCATTTGTTCGTTCTTCTTCTTCGTTGAAATGCTTGTTTCTTTGCTTGTATTGTCCATGTTAATTTTCTAGTCTCTTAAACCATTTTTTTAGTTATAATTTAATTTTGTAATCATTTTTTCTTCGTTGTTTGAAATAAAGTTTTTGAAAGGCCTTCGCGTAATAATTTGATAATAGTTTTTTATAATCATTGCCAAGCATAATTAATTTTAACAGGCTGCTGGGATATGTTTCATAGCACTAAATACGATAAACAATGTGGGGCGGGGGGCGGTAGGTGAGGGCAACTCTCAGATACTAATGCTAGGTTGAAGACATATTCGAAGACTAAACATAACATAATTTGCACTAATTGAAAATTGTATTTCATTCGATTTAACAGTTTATATTTGCTGCCAATTTGTAAATTATCATTTTCGTTTTTAATTTGCTTAATGTAAATAAGTTATATCACAACAATAGAGACAAAGATGGTGTGTGTATGTGTGTGTGTGAGTGTGTGTATGAGTGTGTAAGTTTTGATATGTGTGTGTATAGCTTTCGAGGCTGGATCAAACAACAAATATTCAATTAAATATTATTTTGAATATATATATATACATATACATATACACTCTTACATACACAGTGGTACTCTACACACGAACGAGCACAGATGCATTCACAAGCACACAGACACACACACACATACAAAGACAGCCACCCACACACATATAGACGCAGACGCAAGCGCACGCAGCAATATTCCACTGAGATCCAATACAAGAGCAATGCCCATCGGGGACGTGCCCATCTAGCGCCGATCTAATACTAACTCTTGCTGAGCGCCTTCTTCTTCCTTTGTACCAGAATATCGTAGAACGGATTGTGGCTGATGGACTGTGTCAGGCGCTTGATCCATTCCTGTTGATCCTCCTCCGTTGCGGCCGACATGCGGTAGACCGTGTGCTTGCCTTCTACCACCTGTTGATTGAATAGGATTCATCAGTTTCATGAGACTCGATTCAGTGCAGCTAAATGTACTCACCTTGCCCTCGGAATCAGTCTTGCATGCCTTTATGATGTCGGCGCCGCCGGTGGCAAACAGCTCAAAGCAATGCGGCTTGCTGCGATCCTGTATCTCGCGCACCGATATATTCTCTAGCGGTATTATGCCGCGCGGCTCCTTATCTGTGGTATACTCGAAGTAATACAGGCAATTGTCATTCAGTATGAACCATCGTCGCTTCCACGATTTGTATCTGTGCAAAGAGCGGCTATTAGAATTGCTTGAGCACTTATTGAGCGAATGCTTGTTCTTACCTGCCGCCCTGCTTCCAGAGCCAGCCCTCCTTGTCGGGATTGAAGAAAGTGTGCATCAGATCGTTGCCATCGTCTTGGGGTATCTTGAAGGGCTCTGTGCGTATCGACTCGTACAGTGACTCAAGCAGGCCACGCGGCAAATCACCGCCGTTGTTGATGCCACGATTCATCGAGATGAATTGCTCCACGGTGGGTTTGTCTTTGACCTAAAAGCAGAAAAAGAAAATTAAATCGAATTGAAATAATGCCGACATTGTGAAACAACCAAAGTGCGCAATAATAACTAATTGGAGGCAACGTTTTATGGGCCGCTCGTGCTGCTGAGATCATTTACAAGATGCCACAGCCCAATTAGTGGCCACTCAACAGTTTCAGCTCGTGTGAAATGCGTTAGACTTGACCTATTTATAGCCCAATGCACAGCACTTTTTTGCCTTAATTGCTTTAACGCTGAGAAATGGCAAATGGGCGGGGGAAATGCGGCAAATGCGTCGTGTGGACCGTCAATAATTGCTGCCTGACAGGCGACAAAGTATTCAATTCCGCAGTTTTGGGCCACGCGACGTGCATTTCGCCAGCCTTTTTTTATTTTCTCTTTCACTTTTGGCACACACAGCCAAGGCACCACCCCACTATGCCACCAACAACAAGTACAACTTCCTGTCGTTCCCAAACACTTCCGGTGCGCAAACCATGACAGTGAATTGTAATTTGGTGCCAACCAGAAAACGTTTTAAAAAACTTCCCAAACCTTTTCTTTTTCTTCTGAATTTTTAAACCGAGGGGGCACTGAGAAGGTTGAGTTGAAAGTTGGATGAGAAGCAGAAGAAGTTAAAGGTGTTGCCTCTTAAATTGGTTAAGCAATAATGAACATGATATTAAACAATCTTAAATGAATTAAATCTCACTGATTTATATGGATTGTAATAATAATTAATGAAATCAACTAGAATTCTTTTGACTGCGTTTTTGAACCAATTGAAAATTTAAATTCAGTGTATAAATGTTTTTTGAAAATGTTGCTAAGAGTCAGAAGGAGGTAGACCACAGAAAGTATATATATTCTTCATCAAGACAACGAGCTGACTTGATCTAGTCGTGATCTCGTAAGCTACAAGAGCTAGAGAGAGCATTTCTACTTGTTTTCAATTTTAGTTTAAAAGATATATTAGAACTAATAGATTTAGATTTAAATACTCAGACTAAATGTTACGTATATTGTATATAATTTTTATAAAGGAGACAGTCATGTCTCTAGATTGTTGCGTCTTTTGGAGAAATTTTTTGAAATGGAGCAAAAGATATATACATTATATTTATATATATATTTATATAGAGATACTTTTACATTTTCTTTTGCTAAAGCTGAATCCAACGCTAAACAATCTTATGTAAACTATATTTATATATATTTGTATATATTTATTTTATTTTTTATATTTATTTGATAGAAATTGAGCGTTTCATCTAGCTGCAATTTGCATTACGAGACCATCGTAAGGTAGATAAACTGATTTATAAGAGGCTCTGTTTTTAGAGCATTTATTATTTAAAATTGTATTTCATTAGACATATATTCATACATGTAATTCATATACTTCCTCAATTTTCTATATATATTTATTAATATTTTCAATGAAATAAGTGCATTGGCTATGCATCTCCATAACACTTACCGATGGATTGTGCAGTGATGTGTTGAGCATTATAATGGCGAAGCTGAGCACGTAGCAGGTATCCGTGTTGGTGAATATATCCGGATTGAGTTGACAGTAGCGTTGCGCGAATGTCTCCATCATTCGATCGATCTTTTGGGCCTCGCCGGGCAAGCGAAATGACCACAGAAATTGCCTACAAAAAAAGAATAGAATATTTAAGTCAACTACTCGAGACAAGAGATGTTTATGGAGCTAACCTTAGAGCTTGCACCAGTATCAGATTGGTGAAATCGTGCAGCGCCACAAATGCCTTCAGCACATCCTCGTTGAAATCGTTTTTCTCGCCGAGGTAATCGCCTGGAAAGTCAAACAGAAATGAGCATGAAAATTTATGTTATGCATTATGAGTTTTAATTGAATTTGCCCCCATGCGGGCGTCGCACTGTGGCAGCAATTTACGAGCTGCTAGCGCGGCACTCACCTATTGCCGTCTTGTTCAGGCCCTCGCCCTTGTAGAGGAAGTGCGCCACATCCTGCGGATCGTGGCGCAGCAGTCGATTCTCGACGAGATATTCAATGCCTGCAATTGATAAGAACATTTGTGAGTTAAGAAATTGCCAAAGGACTTTGATGTATTATTCGACTGCAGTTCGTCTGCAGATAAGGACGCAGCCGGAAATGCAAGTTGCAAGCCCAAACCACACTCATAATCTGCCCATGTAGGTCGTAATCGGCAGCGACCCGCAACATAAACCGCAGCAATCCACAACAATAATAAAGAAAAGAAGCAGAAAAATAAATAAAATAGGGAGCGGCAGCACACAGACGAGACATCGATGTCATTATTTGCCAATCAAAGCGCGCGAGCCCGCAATTTGCGATAAAAGCCGGAAGACAAGACAGACAAGAAGAGCTCGCTCCAGGAATTAAAGTAAAACGCATTAAGACCGAACAGCAAATGGCGCGAATAACGCGACAATCCAACAAATTTGCCAATCGCGTGAGGCTTGCGCGATCCAACGATAGGTGGCGCCAGACAACAACGAAAGAAAAACATTTGCTTGGGGTCGTTTAGATTGCACAGAGTTTGGTTTTGCCGTGTGTAACCATGGCAGAACTGTAAATACTGCTGAAGTACAGTTATAAGCATGGGGAATATATGAAATTATGCGCCTATGTGAAAGGAAATTTAAACAGTTTAACTGTTTAAAGGAAAACCTTTGCAGAATCAAAATATCTTTTGATAATTTTCAGGCTATAGCTCAGTAAGTCTGATTATATATATAACGAAGCTATATAAATACTCTACATAGAAAGAGATTTGTTACTCAGATACTATTCATTCATTGAAAGCATAAAATATTTTAAACATATTTCCTATCAATGAAAATATTTTAAAATTCTTCAACATTTTTAAATTTAATAAATAAAAATATAATTATATAAATATATTATGTGGATAAAATCAGCATATAAAACTAGCAAATTGCTTACATATCAATCATTTTTATTAACAATCAACTTTGCTCAACGTCATGAACGCCCCTCGCTCCGCCAACGATTAAAGTTTTTTCTTTATTTTTGCTATTGCTTCAATCGCAGACAGATTGGCTTTTCAGATTGATGATTTTGTTGTTTGTTGTTGGCAATGCGAATCCATACATATATGGAACAACAACAACAACAGCGAAAGCAACAAACAACAGCAATAATAACAATGACAACAATAATGCGAAATGACAACGGATAATGACAAAGGAGTCGCCTGTGGCTGGAGTTTGTCAGGCGCTGGCAAAACCATTTTCTGCTGCGTGTTTGTCAAGCGCGCATCACACGCGATTAGCATCAGCAAGTTGGCAGCTCCCCAGCCTTAAGCCAACAGCCGGCCCCGCCCACTGCCACCTTCCAATACCCTCGATGCGTTATGTATGGCACATTTGTGGGCTATTAATTTAAGTGTGTGTGCGTGTGTATGTGTGGCCTCTCCCTCTCCCACCAGCTCAGCTGTTGATAATCGGGCGATAAAGCGACAAATGGCGTTGCCCTGTAAAACATTGGCAGCCACCCAACCACCCAACCACCCAGTGCTAGGGACTGTTTCACATGTTTTTAATAAGCGCCTCGTTGGCTGAAGTGGACTCGATTCCCACTTTGTTTTTCCTAGCTGACTTCGCGCCATTCCCTACAAATACCTCACTGTGGATTAGCATTTTTATGCTGTTCGTCCGCCATTTGGAATTTGATGCAGGATGCGCCAATGGCTCGACAGCCATCGAGGCTGCCTGTCCCAATTTGGACTTGTCAACGCTAATTTATGGCCAAGAGGTCGATGAAAATATTTGATTGGCTCTTAAATTACGAAGCGACAGAAACGGGCAAAGATCTTTCGGGGGCGAGGGAAACATGCTCCACATGTAGGTCACTCGGGATGGCAGATGGGAGCAGGTTAAGCACCTACAAGTAGCTATTTATAAAAGCTATTTCTAGTAGCTGCAACTTCAATTCTTGTAATTCATCTATAAATATATTGATATGGAATATGCATTACCAGAGAATGGGACACTGCCTAGGAAAATGTGGCCAGACGATCAATAGTGTAATACAGCTCGATCTAGTTGTCATAGATACACCTAGGAATATATTGCCAACTTATAGATACCTTCCTCAGCCTGCTGCACACACTCATCACTCAATTTATAAATATTAACTTGAAACACATTCGATATATATCGATGGCATTGTGTCGCCTGCAGTCTTTAACTGTGCCGCCCGCATATTTGGCCTTGCCCGACTGTCAGCTCTGCTCGGATCTGAAGAATATTGCGACATTGACATTTCCATTAAATTAAACGCTCAAGCACTCGACGCATCCCTGCTGCACGTACAACAAATGTCAACGAACTGTCAAATTTGTCAGCGTTTTAAGCTGCTGCTGGCAGGGAGGGGCGCAACTTGGCAAAGACTTGCATGAGACTCTTGCTGCTGCTGCTGCTGCTGCTGCAGTGTGTTGACATCGCAGCGCGCTGCATCTCATTTCGGGCTCATTACGTTATTAAATTAACTTCGGAATTATCATCGTTGGGCGAACGTGCTCGACTCTCAGCAGCCCGCCCAAAAAGCGAGAGCAATTATGACAGTGTAAACTGCCAGGCAGTTATGCTCTTTGGCGCATCTCTCAGCTGCAGCAACTCAATTATGAAGCACTTCATTTCCATACGTTGTTCGAAATTGCATTGAAATTTCATGTAAATCATTCCCACATTAACATGCGCCCGATTTCCTCGACTCAACTGCCAGCTGGGTGGGATTTTGTTACCTGAACAAAAGAGGCAAGAGCATCGCACAGATGTCCTCAAGTCGTTCGTAAGGATTGCATAAATACTGGAATAATTACTGAGGTCTTAAGGCTCAATATAATGTTGCTAATTTGGTTGGCTTTTGTTAAATTGCAGCTGGGAAATTAATTTTATATTTTGTGTTTTTTTTTTCTTTCAGAAAGTTCTTTTTTTATCAGGGGAATTTCAATAATTTCATATGAATCATTAAGAGTTTTTGTTCCAGCTTGACTTTATTATATTTTGTCAAAGTTGCAGAGCTTTCTTTTTATGCATAAGCCTCAACTTCTTGTTATACTTTTCTATATGTCTTAGCCTAGATATTAGCATGATTTGAGTCAAGTTGAAGCTCACCTTTCTTGGGATCCATATTGAACTTTTTGCGTCCAATTGACATTTGTTTATCTTTATTGGAATGCTTATCCTCGGGCACATCGAGCGCTTCCATTTCCGATACGACTTCGCACAGCTCATCTTTGATTTGCTATAATAAACGAAACGAAAGCGAGAAACGAAATGAATTAATTGAATGAAATCGAGAGTTCAAAAACTTTCACAGACAACATTTGTATGTACAGCTGAAGTGTCTCCAGCTGGGCCCAAGTGAATATAAAACTAGATAAAAATAGTCGGGAATGCATCTGCAAACAGTCGTATAATTTGCGGAAACGAGTCCGTGACAATTGTTGCTAAAAATACACAACACCAAAACCAAAACCAAAACCAAACAAAAACAACAAATTTGTGTTTACAAAATTTCGACAAGCATTCACAATAGTAGCCCATGCGGATTCACAATTGCGAATCATTTGCATGTTTCCAGCTCAAGTATTTGATTTTATTTCACTTGCAACAATTTGGCTGTGCTAAAAATACAAATTAGAATCGAAAAGAGCAGAAAAGTAAAATGAAGTGAATTTGATTTAATTGAATTACGCTCGCTGAGGCGAGTACCTGACACGGCCTGGGTCCATTCGAGCGGGGTCAAGATACAGGCAGCGTCTAGGCTCCAAGCATTCGTGCTGTAATATGATGAATTCAAAGAGGCGTGACAAATTTGTCAAACACACAATTGAACTGAGCGAACGAGGCCATTCACCAGTCGAGCACGCTGTAGCTAGTCGTCTGTATCTGTATCTGTATCTTTGTATCTATGTATCTGTATCTGTAGCACATGTGAGCTACTACAGTTGCTGCACTCAAGTGTCTAGCTATTTGTCAGCCTGTTGACGCTTGACTTGGCGAGAGCGCCACGAGACCGGAACATATCAATTGCCCCTGCCCAGCACTGCGCCTACATGACCTTCTGACTCATTTGCTAAGTCTAACACACATTAATATACACACTTTATGCTCTCTAAATGCCTATGCAAATCGGCTGTGGAATGCCAATTAGATGCGCTGAGAAACAATTGACAAGTCGAGAGACTGCGGCAATGATCATTCTCAGATTCGTCGTCAAGTTCGAAGTATGCGATGAGCTCATTCAATTGGAACTTCACACAACGCAGTGACCCCCGAGAATTTGCTAATTTTAGATCAGTTTGCGGTTTCTTGTTTCTATATTTCATTTGCCAATCAACTCAATAGGTATTTCACGTGTGTTCCCGCAATCTTTCTGGTCGGATTATGAACTTTAAGACCAGAGCGTGTCACACACGAAGAATCTTATAGCTCATAGGCAGCTGAATGAGTCAACAAATCTTCTATACAAATATTGATACGTGATATATGATGTATATATAACTTTAAGTATGGTTTAGGTATATTTAATGTTTGCTTAATGTATGTTTAACAGTTTTATGGCTTTTATATGCACGTTTCAAGTCCTTTCCCAGGCTTTAAAACCTAAGCATACGCCACGCCGTTTCCGCTGAACATTGAAGAGGCATAAATATAAAAGAAACCTTTCAATTAGTGGGCAGGCCAGTCGCATTATGTAAATTTGTGAGTTTCCAATAGAGCTAAATGCTCAACAGGAGTCCCAATTAAATGAATGTTAGCTACCAAGCTACGCCCCTTGAAGCAACAACAACATTGAAGAAGTCATAGAAAATCACATAAAACTGAAGAAAATTGTTAATGAGAAGCGCAGAGAGAGGCATACAAGACAGACAGCGAGCAACGCTCGAGGGCTACTCGTTCAAAGACGGCATCGCTAATCAAAGACCAACAGAACAACAGGTGGACAAGGGTCATTGATAGTGCGCCTCAGACGTAAAGCTAATGAACGTCAAGCTTTAAAAATAACTCGCGATGAAGCGGCAGGTAAACAACGACGTCAAAGGTGTGGGAACGCGGCACGAGGAAACACAACGAAACAGAATCAATCAAGAAACCTGTTTTAATGCAATGCAAATCGTATTGAAGCACAGGGAACAAAGGCGAGCATCCACAAGCCGTTTCGAATGACATATCAAAGCATATTTTTAAATAGAAATTATTTAACTTGTCAATAATGCGACTTTAACATATGATAAGATATTTAAACAAATATATGTCATACAATAATATAATATAAATGTGAGCAGAAACATAAGTACCATAGCAGAGATGAAATGCAAGGGAAGAGGCGACATATGAGCCTAACTTTGCAAGCCTAAACAAAGGCAATCAAAGCTAAAATAAGATAACTATCGAATACCCAGCCGATATTAATACCAAATCTGTATATCAATTGTTACTCTGCAACTTTCGATCGCTTTTAGCTTGAAAGCAACTCAAACAGACTTTCAAACAATTGAAACACTTGTGTTTCCCCATAAGACTGCGCGTATACGATATGTGAAATACGATATTCGACATACGATATTCGATCTCCGTTTGCTTGGCTCATACCTGCGGTCGCCTGAGGATGGCAACGTTGCTCTGCTCGGCATTGTTGCGATTGCGCTCCATGAGCGTTCGACAACTCTCGCAGAGATTCGTCTGTTGGTTGTTATTGTTGTTGTTGTTGTTGTTGTTGCTGCTGCTGTTGTTATTGTTGTTCAGCTGCTTGCTGCTGTTGTTGTTGTCGGCAATGCTGTTGTTGTTATGGCTGACTGAGTTGCGCTCGGATTCGCTCTGCGAATTGGAACTGTCATCAATGAAGCGCAAGTCGCTCGCCTCTGGTGTCAGCGGCGAGCTCAGCCCCGAGTTGACAGTCTCCGTCTCTGAATCCAGCTGCAGTGCCTCGTTATCGATACCGTCCTCGGCAACGTCCAGCATGCAGCCGAGCGAGTTGGAGCGTGATTTGCGTGGTGCCTGTGGCGGACGCCTGGAGATGATCTCGCCACGCTCATTGAGCAACAGCTCGACGGGCCGCGATATGATGAGAGTGCGTGTTGTTGTTGTGGTGGTTGTGTGGGTCAGTTCGGAGCGCCTGTTGAAGAGCTGCGTGTTCGGGTCCTCGCTGGGCAGACGCAGCAGCTCCACCTTGCGGCTGACATCGCTGCAGCTGACCGTCTCCGTGCTCAGCGTGGGACTCGCTGGCGGTGGACTTTCGGCACGCAGCGAGGTCACCTTATAGGTGGCCACGCTGGTGAATGGCGACAGCGAGGGCGAGCGGGGTGAGCGTGGCGTGGAGACGGTTGGCGGGGACGACGGGGGTTTGTCTTCCACGTGAAGCTTAGGTAACTCCTTCTTGCCCACTAGGCTGCCCAGGTTGCAAAAGCAGCGCGCACAGACACCGCTGCTGATGGTGGTGCTGCTGCTGTTGCCGCTGCTGCTGCTGCTGCTGGCATTGCCCAACAATCGGCGTCGATCCTCCTCAGCCTTAGTCGAGGGCGCTGTTATGTAAAAGGTGCTGCTGCTGCTGCTGCGACTGCCAGGCAAGTCGGCGCCATCACCTGTTGGCGTGTTGGCACCAACGACGTTGGTGCTTAGATCAAAGCAGCTGCGCTGCAATTGCTGTTTACTGCCAAAGCTGCCGACGCTGCGGCCGCTTAGCGAGCCGCTCTTCTTGCTCTTGGGCTGGCGGCGCAGCGAGCTGAACCAGTTGATGATGGGACGCTTCTGGTGCACCGACGTCGTCATGACTGCCAGTCAATTGCCCACTTCCGTTCGCTCAGTCTTTTATGGCCTTTTGATGGTGCTACCCGAAAACGGGTTCGTTCCTCTCTCACTCTGTCTCCCTGTGTCTTTAGTTTTCTCACTTGAGCTACTGTTGGCCTTTGACTTTGATTCCTGGTTAATTATTTTGGCTTCTTCATGGCGCAACTCTGAAAATGTTGTAGAGTTTTGTTTTTGCTTTTGTTTTGATTTTACCGGGAGCAGAACTCACAGCAATTTACAAGTACAAAGACGCGGCACGCTGAGAAATGTTATATGCCATAAATTCATTAGCTAATTATAACGATGCCGAGAAACGCACTCAGCAAAGCCCACAAAGTGCCCCCGACAGGAAGTGCCAGACAGGACACAACCTCACAAATTGAATTTGTTGTCGTCGCACAACATTTTTTGGGTTTCCCATGCTGCTCGCTGGCACTCGCAAGAGACGCGCACAAAACAAATTACGCTAATGGCGCACAGGTTAAGAAGGTGCTGGCGTTTGTTAATCCCAGCGACAGGAGGACAACGAAGACGACAAGGAGGACGACAACTACGCAATTTTTACCAGCCACATCTTCACGTGTGATTTGTGTAGGGCTGGCAAACACTTTGAGGCTTGAGTCTAGCGACAGGAACAAATGGAGACACACACATAGCCCATTGTTCCCCGCCCGTGATTTATTGCGCTCCCTTTCTAATGTTTGCTCTCTTTTTCCATTTAGGTTTCGTTACGTTTGGCTTCGTTTAACGCAAGGAAGTCTGTGCGATAAAGCCTGTGAATTGTTTTTGGACAGCCAAACTCTAATTGGAGGCATGTTGGCCATGTGGCACAATCTCCATGGCAAATAATGGATGATGCCTGGGATTAAGTCGGTTAGCCGGCAAAAGTCACTGAGCCATATGCAGCAAACAAACATTTTGTTTGCAAGACATTCTAGCTCCCAGCTTATTATAATTTATGACATATTCTATGCGAGAACATCTGTATACATGTGTACAGAGCTTCTGCCCGGCTCATGCGTGCATTTGTCACGAACATGAACGGGAAAAGGAAAGTCGTCAAGAAGGAACAGCAGGCATCAAGCATATGGCAACAAAGTTGGCTGTGATTCTGCAGGATATTTAAGAAATGGAATTCAAAGTGATGTACTGACAAATTGGACACTGGAGTATGATTACATGAGTGTTTCAGTTCCATCGTTCCAAACAAAATATGGATATTTAAGAAATGGAATTCAAAGTGATGTACTGACAAATTGGACACTGGAGTATGATTACATGAGTGTTTCAGTTCCATCGTTCCAAACAAAATATGGATATTTAAGAAATGGAATTCAAAGTGATGTACTGACAAATTGGACACTGGAGTATGATTACATGAGTGTTTCAGTTCCATCGTTCCAAACAAAATATGGATATTTAAGAAATGGAATTCAAAGTGATGTACTAACAAATCGGATATTAGAGTACAATGATTACATGAGTGTTTCAATTCCATCGTTCCAAACAAAATATGGATATTTAAGAAATGGAATTCAAAGTGATGTACTGACAAATTGGACACTGGAGTATGATTACATGAGTGTTTCAGTTCCATCGTTCCAAACAAAATATGGATATTTAAGAAATGGAATTCATAGTGATATACTGAAAAAATTGGACATTAGAGTACAATGATTACATGAGTGTTTCAGTTCCATCGTTCAAAACAAAATATGGATATTTAAGAAATGGAATGGAATGGAGTGATGTACTAACAAATCGGATATTAGAGTACAATGATTACATGAGTGTTTCAATTCCATCGTTCCAAGCAAAACATGGATATTTAAGAAATGGAATTCAAAATGATGTACTAACAAATCGGATATAAGAGTACAATGATTACATGAGTGTTTCAATTCCATCGTTCCAAATAAATTCTTAGGTGAGGGGAATACTGGAATGAAACATGGCATTACAATTTGTAATTATCTATTGCATATGTAATCTAATTCCATCGTTTCGAACAACTTCAAGAAACCTTTTCAGAAAGAAGCAAAGAAACTATTTCAATATCGAACTATATCTATATATAGTGGTATATCTATGTCAAAAACACTTCAATTTCTATTCACCACAAACAGAACGACTTTGACATCAGTTATAATTGGAATGAAACGTGCTAAAAAGGTATTAACTACAATTATTTGGCATTATCTACTTCCATGTTTCGAATTATTTACAATTATCACCCAATCATATCGCAGATTTAATAATCAATTTTCGCTTCAACATTCTATCTAATGGCTATTAATTTGAGTTGAAACTGATTGCAGAATGACTTCGATAATCTCTTTGAAAATAAATCGAATTATCTTTAAACCGAAACACGTACCATGAATTCAGGTAAAGTTTATTGTTTATACTAGATTAGACAGTTTGGCTTCTAATATTATTGTCTGCGTGAGAACAATATTATTTGCCTCTTCAATTTATGGCTTCAAAAGCCTGAAAACTGTTTACTTATTTTACCAATGTCAAAGCTCTTGAGGTCCCCAGAGACCCATTGGAGGCCGTGACTAGGCAGACGAAGCGCTTCCAAAGGGAATGAACACAAAGTGAACAACAATTTACCTGCCACGCCCACGCACATAGCAGTGGCAACTTTAAATTACGTGTAACTCGGCATAATGTGCCGAGAACCCGCAGCCTTCAACCTGCTCCATGCATCCTTCGGCAGCGAGAACGTGATTCGATTCCACAAACACAAACAACAACAATCAAATCAATCTCAATCTTTATATTTCTCTACCTCGCATTCAGATACATTTCTAGCTATTTGTGCAGGTATATATACGTCTATATATACAGCAATAAAAGGCGCGCCGGCGTTCAGAAGATGAGAGAAATATAAACGAATAAGCAGACAAACAGAACAAACGCAGCTCAGGTGAATACCGCAAAGGTATTAACAAGAGGAAAATGAAATTTGTAAACAAACTATCAATCAAACAAATGAGCTGAATAAACACAGACAAGCGAAAGAGAGACAGGGAGACTGAGAGAGCTGTGGATATGAGAGTGTGTATGTGCTTAGAGATATAAAGCCAGATAGACGCTTCTCGGATGCAAAGCAACAGATAAAAGACGACAGCCTCAAGTGTTCGAAACAAAGCTGCGATTGCTACCTGTCTAAGTTCTCAGAGGCACAACAAAAATACGTAAGTGTGCGTGTGTGTGTGGGCAGGAAATGCGCTTTGGCTATGGCTATGCCAAACTAATATGGCATGTAAAATTTTCCCGGTTTGTGTTCAACTTTTGTTCACCATGATGAATGGCCAAAAAGGAAAAGCTACGAAAATAAATAAAGAAAATTCCGAATGTCAGACGGTAGCTGCCAGCTGGGAGTTGCGCCTCTGCAAAATGGGCGTGGCGCATGCAATTTATCTTGACATTTTAATCTGGCCATTGTAAGCACTGCAAGCTACCAGCGCACAGCCACTGTGCCAAGTGTTACCAATACGCAAGAGCCCTGTCTGGCCAACGCCTTTGGGTTAACACGCGCTTTAAAAGCTGCTTTGCTTCGCCTTTCCCCTGAAATCCAATTAGACAATCAGACACATAAACAATGGCTAGGCAGCCGAAAAAAGCAAAAGAACATTAAACGGCATATAGATGCAGCAATGCTGTCCCTTGCGCAACTAGGAAATATCCTGTAGATACTTTTATGTGGAGCCTTTTCCAATGAATCCTTGGCATAGTTAGTGAGCTAGTATAGAGACATAGATACATCTATCTTCTATCTATCATTCAATTCTGAATTCCCTAAGCTTTCCTTTACTCAACTCTCTCAGTTACAGGGTATCGCTTAGTGCCTCAACTACTAGTAGAGCTTGGATTCGCATACGGATTTGGCTACGTTTTTGGATCTGTTGCCATTTGCTTCTTCAGACTTTCACTTTCGTCAGCAGAATGCAATTAAAGGCAAGCTTGCGACTGTTGTTTCCTTTTGTGCTGCTCTTTTGTCTGTGGCCCCAAATGTATCTCAAAGTTGGTGTGTATCTTCTAGTACGTATCTATATGTATACGTATATATAAGTGTCTCTTTGCAGGCGCCGGATGGGTCATTGCACGTTGCTGTCTAGAAGTCGCATTTGGTCGGGAAAGTGTGAAAAATGCTCTTTTCCGCAGCGCATTTTCTTTCGACTTGGCGTATTGATTGTGTGTGAAAATATGCGAACACTTTAACGAAAGTAAGCGCAGCTTTTCACCTTTAATTTATTGTAAGCGCCTTACAAATTATGTTTTAGAGACTTCTTCTCCAGCTGTCACTTAAGAGTGTTTAGGCTATAAGTGAACTTAATTAAGATAAGTAACAGAAGGTAAAAGCACGAAATGCTGAGCTATTTTTCTTGACTCTCAGTTGAATCTATTTTTAGTGGCATGATAAAGCTAACAATATAAAATTGGATTAGATAGGAGATCTAGTTGCTAATCAGACCTCATAATTCTCTCTATGCTAATTTCAGTTTTATAGTATTGCCTAAAATATCACAAATTTAGAAATTTTACAGCAATTTTAATGTTTTTTCTGCTGGTTTCAAATGAAGTCTTTCAATTGCTTCAGTCCTTATTTGCTGCACAAATTTTAACAAATCGTCAATGTTTTGCTTAAGGAAACTAACCAAATAAGTTTTGGTATTACGAAATAAGCAAAAGTCTAATCAAATGCCACGCCTTTTGCTTGCTCTTGGACTATAAACAAATGACCAGAGTTGGTTTGTTCCAGCACATATATGACATAAACATATATATATATAAATAGTTATATATATTTGTAGCAGTCCAGCTGTTGCCTCAAGGGAAGTCGTTCCATATCGCCTCGTTCGCACACATTTATTTGTCTGCGCGTGTTTTCTGTATCTATTTGTACGATTATGGATATTGCTCATTAGGCTGATGGCTGCCAAGGCAGCATCAAAGTTTGCTTATTATTATTTATTTACCCAGTCCAGGCCCGGGCAGTCAGCTAATTTCAGCCTGACTGACTGACTGACCGCAAACCATTTATGCGATGAGAAAAATCTCCGAAAACTGCCAAAAAAGATTTTTCTACGCTGTCAGCTGCTGCGAGCACTTTTTCTTCGCTCCAGCGCCAAATGTAAATGTGGAAGCAAAAAACTCA